GATGCCACCCTGTGCCACATGCTCTAGGTGTGCCTGCTTGAGCAGGAAGGTTGGACTAGATGATCTGTAGAGGTCCCTTCCAACCTTAAATATTCTGTGAATCTGTGAATCTGTGATGTGGGAAACTGTATCCATGCTATGGAGGGAAAGCTTCATTGTCACCCCATTTTGTGAAAAAGAAATAAGAGAAATGGAAGTTTGGCAGCAGAGCAATGATATAGTAATGAAAGTAAGTCATGGATCCTTGCAGTAAATGATTATATTGCCTAATTTTCCCTTAGCCACTAACATTTAATACAGGCACCTGTCTGTGCATCCTAGCTTTAGGGATATGTTGGGTGTACAAATCAGTTCTTTTGGTCTTTCTTCTCCATGCATACATGATACTGAAAAGTAATGTTAGGAAAAAATGAATTCTGATTTTCTTTTTAGAGTTATTGTGTGAAGGTGAATAAATAACTTCAGATTAGCTTGTAATTGATTTGGCTTTCTGTAATGAGGAATATTTTAATTGGGCATGATTTTGCATAGGTGTTAGAAACTAATTCTACTTTGCATGATGATGATTTGCATTTCTAAGGCTTGCAGAGATTTATATTTTATAAAAATGGTAAAGAAACAGAAATGCTGAGTGACTGTCCCGTAAACAGAAACATAAGCACTGATTCGTGCTCATAAATTCTGTTTGCTCATAATTCAAGGGCTCCTTTTCAGGATTTGTTGTTATTTTTCTAGCCAGCATACAAGGGAAGGACATATGGCCACCTGTGAGACCAAAATTACGCTGTTATTTGTTTTTCCCTTGACTGTCCTACTGCCATGCATATAACTTTAGAAAATTAAGATCAAGTGCTAAGCTAGTACATCATCACTGAATAAATAAAGTCCTATTTGAACTTTTTCATCAGAATGCCTCCACATATTGCAGTTCAGGAAAACGAAATAATATGATCCTCGTGCTCTGTCTTTTTAATATCAAGAACAAACCATTTAAAAATCTCTGTTGGTTTACCATGCAAAGATAATTTACAAAATGGAATTTCTTGATAAGTCTGATATTTCATATACCATTAAAACTTTGATTATCCACCAGATCTACTGTAATTATTTCAATATTTTTATTTTCATTCCAGAAATCCTTTACAATGCAGTATTTTTCATCTTGTCATCTAAGAGGTACCCATTAGAATTTAAGCAGATTATGAAATTATGTAATTTTAGCTATACAGTGTTTAGACTGTCATTTCTTAAGAAATTATAATAACTTTTCTATTTCAAACAAAATTTTCTGGAATGGACTAAACAATTATTTGTATGTTAAGGACATGCTTGAAGATTTTCACTTCCCAGGGGTTTACTCCTCTCCAAATAATTTAAATACTGGAGCACAGTAGTAGCTGTTTAAATCCGATCAGACAGTAATTATCGTCATTTATCTTTGGATATAAAAACTGCTTACTACACATCACACACACTCTGATGAATCACTCTTTTGGAAGAGGGAAAAAAAAAAAAAAAAAAAAAAAGAAAAACAGCTTGCCAAGCTGTTATCTTAGGGCTTTATACTTTTATTTATGTTATTACCAATAGGCTGCAGAATGCTCAGATAGCACCATTAAATTTGATTCCTAACAGGCATTAAATTCATCTAATAATGACGTTACAATGTCCCTGACAACCCTGAGAAGCACCAGATTTATAAATGATATTAGTACCTAGAGTGTCAAGCATTTCATTACCAGATGCCTTGCCTGAAAAAAATGCAGTGTCCCAAATCAATGTCCTGCAGAATGTGCAGAAGCCAGGGTTAATAAACATGAAATATCATTCCCATGAATAAAACAAGCACTATACATCAGTGAGCTGAGTCTTTTAAATGCTGTCTCGACTTGCTGAATGCTTGTTACTCCTGTCAATTCTGATGGCACCGTTTCTGAGAGAAATATCCCAGGTATGTTTAAGGTGGTCTACTCATATGTGACAGCTTAATAAACTGCTCAGCCAGCTATTCCAAGCAATAAAATGGTAGCATGTATTTGGATACAAAGTTGTTCTTAAAACACCAAATAAAACTGCATGATAATATTTACAGTTCTCCAAAGAGGCAAGATTGCACACTGAGCACTTTGCATCTTCTATTATTTTACTAGTCTGATCACTACATGTATCATGAGAATACAAAACAAGAACATGCCCAAACATGATAACTTTGACACTGCAATATGAGAAAACATACAGATTAACTAAGGAATTACACAGATTATATAGATCCGCAAGTATACTCCATAAAGGCTCTACCTGACAGTTCACCCTCAGATCCTGCACTGTTTTTAAAAGTATTAGAAAAATGACATTAGAAGAGCTGGACAGTGACTGTAGATATAAGACCACGGTGGGCAGTAGGGCTGGGGAGGGTGCATAGAAGTCAGCCCTATAGGAATGTATAGGAATGTGGTGGAATGTATCTTGATCTACATTTTACAAATTTACAGTATGAACTACTGTTTCTGGAGTTTCTGGAACATGATGTTCCTGCAAAGCACCTAGTGTACCAGATTCTGAAGCTGACTATGGTGGCACAAATGAAACAGACAACAAAAGCCTGATTTATGTAGCTGTTGCATTCAGTGCCTAAGTAATGGACTGCAATCAGAGCCACTTCTGCAGACTCATTTCTCACCACCTTACAGTGCTTTATATCCTTGAGAAAGTTTGAGTATATCCCTTCTCCTCATTTAAACCTACGTTAAAAGCACATTAGGACGGCTCATGTAATGCAGCACAATTTTTAAAATGATATATGTATCTTTTTTTACCAAGTGGGATGTCTTTGCACCCACATTTGAATGTGAATTTTAAAGGCACAATCCTTTGTGCGGATTAAAATATAACAATATATTATTTGCCATAGTAATAATGCTGTTAACAAACATTTATTAACAAATTTAACAGGTCTTCCACATTAATAAGGTTTCTTTTCTTGCCACTTACACCTTATGCTGTTCAAGAAGAGGTACAATAGGAAAAGCGGGTGCATCTCTGAAGAAATTGATTTTCACTCTGTCCTCAGCTGATTAACGCCAAATGGAAGCTATCTTTCTATAAAGCTTCATTGCTTCTTTTGAACGGGGCCCCCTTCAATCCATTTTGCTGCAGGTATTAGCCTGTTAGTGGAATGCATCTCTCAAATATGGACAACCTGCAGATAAATATTTCCTCGCAATGCTTACGCAGACATTTTTTTGCTAACTGCAGACTTTGTGCAAGCTTTGTACTCTTTTAAAGGAGAAATGGCATGTGTCCCAGCCGTACAGAAAAAAATGCTTTTAAGTAACTCCAGGTATATTGTAACTATACAAATATAGAAATACGGGCTGCGGGATTTTTTTCTAGCAGCATATTTCTAAACCTCATCTATTGTCAAGGCCTCATCATTTGTTAAAGTATCTGTTCCATACTTCAATATTACTGAAACTGTATCTTAAATATCTAAGCTACTTGCTCTTACCAGAAGTGACTTGAACTTCATCTTGCTTGTTGGCTGGCTTATTTATATTGACCCCCGCAGCATTTCTTCCAGCTCCAGGAACTACGCCGGTCAGCAGCACTTCCACTCTTTGCTCTACTCTATGCCTGGCTCGACAGCGTACCACAGCTGCAGAAACGCAAAATCCACCCTCTGAAAAATGTTGCCAGCATCTTAACTTTAACAAAAAAAAAAAAGCTTAACATATAATTGAAATGATCTTAAAGCAGGGTGGAATTCCAAATAAGGAGTAATGCAATAAAAGGTTTTTTTTCCATCTCACGGTTTCCATCATTTAGGTGAAGTAGAAAATACCATTAACTAAACAAAAGTCTTGTTCTGCTGTTGGTTCCCAATGCCACTAGCAAATTTCCCCCTTTTTTTAATAATCACAAAATGTGTATCTTTATTTTAGCTTATTTGCAAATAGAAAATACTTATTTGATATGTATCAGTGAGAAAGAAAGACTGACGGAATAACAAAGAAATGAAAGAATTTGAAAGCTTAATCAAAGAAATGATGGTTAAAATTGGAGAAAAATACTAAGTTACTCTTTGATTTATTAATGTAAAAATAATTCTCTTCAAAATTCAGATCTTATAGACCCTGCTAGAATAAGCAGCATTCTGACCTGAGTTTCTCTTAGAAGCACAACAGTACTTTTATTCAGTTAGTGAATTTGCTTCTTCTAAAGTATGTCCTTTTTCATTAAAAGGAGGGTCACTTTTTTGCCTAGCACGAGCTGGTTTAGAGCCTACTTCAATACTTACTATCGGTAGTTCTTTCAGCAGTTGTTAGTGAGAAGATTATATTCAGGAACTGAAAGGGAAATATATTTTCCCAAACAAAAGACAGAATTTTCCAGAAGTATTGAAATCAACTTGAAAAAGAAAAGCTGATTACATTTTTCTCAATTTTAAGATCTAATAATTATTTTCATCAAAATTAGACCTTTGAAATCTCAAAATTATTTGTTCTATTATTAAAAAGCTAGATTTTTTTCTTTCTGTTCACAAGGCAGTAAGTAATGACTCATAATCACAGATATTTAAATAAGGAGGAAAAAGTTCAGAATTTCTAATTTGAACAAGCCAACAGAATTATATCCAATGAATCTCTACAAATTAACCCTGAACTTCGGGTCAAAATTTAATGTTAAACAGCCCATATCTATCTCCTACTAAGTTATGTTCCGTGTTTAGAAAAGTAGCAATGAAAACTTATTTCTATGCCATATTTACTTAGCTTCAACTGTTAGTTCTAAAACTTGTTTGACTACCATTATTTTTGAAAGTAGATTCCCTATCAAGGTGACTCCATTACTTTCACTTAAAACTAAAAGCAGACCTTTTTTAATTGTCTTTTCCAACTTGACAGGTTTTAAGTAACTCCTGTAGCTCCTTTCTAAACCTTTACAAGAAAAGAGCTTCAAGAATAATTACAAATCTCTCTCTCTCTCGTCTTTTTTTTCCAAATGTTTGGCTATACCCTTAATAATAAAATGTACATTACCTGTATCACCCCATCTTACCAAGGATTTCAGATTACTCTGTACATATGCTGTGATTTCATCAGTTTCTATTCCACAACTCATCTTACTATCAGCAGACATCCTATTTTTTTCCAAGTTTCTGAGTAATATTTATAGATAGAAATCAAAACTGTGGGATCTGAGTGGACACTTCCCTGAGCAACTTGATCTAATTAGATCTGCTTTGAGCAGAGTGTTCGATTAGATAACCTCCAGCTATCCCAACCCAAATTATTTTATGAGTCCACAAGAAAAAAATATATACATATATGTTCTGGGTGATTCTCCAGATGATGTAATTACTTCTATAATCTTGCCAAGTTTTAATCTATTTTATATGTACTACATGGATTGTGACCACTGATCACTTTAATTGGTCTCATGAGATACTAAGCCAAGTGACTTCTAGATATTTAAGTATATTAAGATGCAAATAAGAATGACATTAAAGATGAACTGCCTAATATACTAGCAAAACAACTTTGTTTTTTGACATAACAGCTTGTAGCCTCCAGGCAATTTCAATGAAAATAAATACACTAAAAGAAATGATTATACAAGCTTTATCATTATTAAAAAGCAATGTTTAAAAGCAAAGTAGATTTCTTGTAAATTACTTGCTCTGTGCTCCATTTTTACAACTGTGATTTTTAAGTAGCCCATTTATAACAAAGAACTATTGAGACTCAAGGTAGGAATGGAATCAGTTTCAAAAATGCTCCCACATGTAAGTTATTAGTTTTCTGTCTCATTTTTCAATGAAAGACCTAGTACTACCTTAGGGAAAAGAAGGAAAGAAGGAAAGAAGGAAAGAAGGAAAGAAAGAATTACATATAACATGGACATGATGGTGCTGGTCCCTAACAGAGATGCATTCATTTTGAATGTTCCCTATATGCCTTATAAATATTTACTGAAAGTAAACTAGAGGATAATGGAATTAGTCATAAATATCATATATAATTTTGTTACTTTCAAGAAGCATCTTGAATTTAAAATTATTTCAGATGGGAAGTAACTTAGTTAAGTTTCTGTCCATATACAGCAGTAATGTCACATAAGCAATTTATGCACACTATCAGTTCAAATACGTACCCACTCTTCTAATGAAAACAAAACCCTGATGGAAAAGAAATTTATCACAGTCTGCTGTTGGTGTATTACATTATGTATTTAAAATAAGAGCCTTCCCACCAATATACAGAATTTTAACACTATTGAGACTCATCAAAACTGCCATTTTGGGCAATGGTAGATTTCATCATAATAGTCTGCTTCATTCCTTTAATGTATTAAAGAGGAAACTAAATAGCTACAAGGTCTAATTAATATCACATCATTGGCATTTGTTTGCATGTAAATGATCTTTAAACAAATTCCATTAATAAAAATGAAAGTATCTTTTTCTAGAGGTCAGTTTTCCAGAATTCAGTCCTGTTTAGTGGAGAAACTAAACTAAACTTTTTTTAGTCCTGTTTAGTGCAGAAACTAAACTAAACTAAAACTGTTTAGTGCAGAAGCACATTATATTCACTCATCAAAAGGCAGTTGGTATAAAACTGTCCATCATCCCAATCTGTAGTTTCAAGCTTTTAGTTTTAAAAAGTTGTTCACATTTTCTATGTTTCATAATTCTGGGATTATATTATGTCTTTACAAATGTATCAAGTCTGTGAATATGCACTACACAAAAAAGGAGCAACAACAAAATTCCTATCAGTGTCTGTCATCAGGTAGTGCAACTTCTTAGTAACAAATGGAAAACTAACTGCTATTCATGCTCCTCTATAGTCTGCTTTAAGGAGCAAAATTAATGGCTGATTGAAACAACAGATATCTACTCCAATATAAGTACCATGTGAACACTCTGAAAGAGTCTTGTGGGAACTTAAACAGAAATCTAGTCTTGCGTCAGTCTTTTGTTTGATTTACTTTCAATTTTGTCTTGCTTTATATAACTTAACATTAACTGGACACAGAAGTGCATATAAGTTGAGGTTTCTAACAACTCTTGACTCCTTTTATCCACAATGAGAACAAAATAACACATCTAGATTTGCTTTGCAGGTTGGAAAAGAGGATTTTAATCCTAAAAGACCCATAAAATACAAGCAGCAACTTTCAAATACAAAAGAAGCTTTGTATCAATTTGATTTGGTGAATGCACCTTGTATACTGGGAATCTCTGAATTAGGGATTCAGGTTTGTAGACTGTAGAAAGTTGCAGGCAAAGTGACTGCAGAAAACAGTGTAAATCATGAAATCAGCTTAGTGCTTCAATCCATGCTTTCTCTTCTGAGCTTTCTCCTCTGATAAGTCATCTATCTCATCACTTTCCCTATCCTATCTTTCTTTAAAATCTAGTACTGCTAGATTTTATCTTTTTAAAGACTGCAGCAAAGTACTGCTGCAAATTCTTGTGAATAAACAGGTTACAATGCAAATAACTACTTGATTTTCTTAAATTTGCTTTTTTTTTTTTTTTTTTCCTACGATTTCCTACCTGAAACTGATTTCTGTTGAGGTGCTTCAGGTATTCCATGAACTGGGTAGATCCAACGTATTCCCCGAATTCCCCCATTTTCTGCCAGAGTAATGCTGTTTGGAAAATAAGTGGATTATCATTAGGCTGATTTTTTTATCAAAAGCCATTTCAATTTAAAAGTTGCTCGTCAGGTGAGCCTCCATTTTATTGTATTTTTTAATGTTAAACACATCTAAGCAAAATATTAATTAAAATCCAATCAGATGAGCGGGGTTTTACATATACTTCATTTAGAGATTTCTATGTTATTCTGCTAGAAAATGAGAATATTTGGTCTCATCTCCTCTTTTTTTATACCATGCTTATGCTGAAAACAAGTTTATTTATATGCAGGTGATGTTAGACCAAAAGTTGAATCTGAATAAAGTCAAATACATATTTGTAATAGTTTACACATACATATCTACATGAGAAACAGTAAATAATTATTAGCCAAAATATACTGATAAAGTAAAGGCACCTAAGTGCTTTGCATTTGCTATAACTGCATCAGCAGCTAAAGCGCTCATTTTCCTTACTCAAAACAGAAAAGGTAGATATTGAAACACACAGAATTTTCTACTTTAATCCTGCATTCTTTGCAGGGTACATTAAAAACTCATACATTTGTCCTCAAAATCAAACATGTGATTCTACTTGGCAGCTACAAATATCTGAAAAGGAAAATTACAATAGGTTTAAGTATCCTCAACTACTGCTTTATTTTTCTATGAGGAAAAATTACCTCTTTAAGTATTTATTTAATTTAACAGAATCCTCACAGGGCCAGTTTTTACCATTCTCCCTTGTTACATGAATTACCACCTGAGCTTCATACAATTTCATTGTATTTGGTATAAATAACACTGGGATGTCCAGCCTTCTTCTTGGACCTAATGTAATTCCTGTAAAATAGAACAGATTGTCATGTTTTTTTTTTTTTTAAGATTTTGAAATTTGTTTTTAATGACATTATTTGTATGTTTCTCTTTTATGCTGTATTTATTTTAATTTTACATAATCAAATTTCATTTTAGTGCATCATGTAGCCTGTGTTCCTGTAATGAGATATTTCAAAGCTCACATGGCAGAAGTGTTATTTAGTATGAAAAAAAAAAAAGCAAAACAAAACAAACAAAAAATTTATATTTATTGAGAGGCCCTTTAAATTAAACCCAAGGAGATTTTGAATGCTCAAAAGCAAATGAAATGAACTTTCTACCTTTCAGAAATCATGTATATTATGTGTAAACCAATCCCATGATTTTCCAGGCACTTAGTTACAATATTTGAATGTTGGTTTCAACAAAAGTAAGTAATCCTGCACACAAAAAGGCCAATCCAAAAACAGTACTTCATGTGAGAAATACTTGAAATATTTTTGAAAGAACCTGTATTATTACTGTTACTTCATCCATGCCTGTCCTGTACCATTTCTCACCTGATGGACTTCACTTGAAAGTCTCTTCCCTTCTCTCCCCATGTCTATATATATCTTCTGTATTACCTATATAATTATTAAGAACATACAGTCCTATACATGTACTGATAATTAGCAATATATAAGAACCAATCATAAGTATGAAGCATGCTGCTGATGACTGAAAAAGTTTTGTTTTACTCTTTAAAACTGACCTCATTTACCAGTCCTCTAAACATCTCCATCTCAGTGATATCTATTTTCCTAATAATATATTTATATATATAACTGTATATACCCTCTGCCTGTGTGTGTGTGTGTGTGTGTGTTCACAGAATTACAATATCAGACAGGTTTAGCTGTGACTTCTAGTCATTCTTGGTAATCTTCTCCCTTCAAGCTGCCCCTCAAACTGCTAAAGGACTGAGCAGGACAAAGGAAGCACCAGCTCCCTCCCTCAATAGTGTGAAAGCACCTTCAGCTTGCTACAAACCACCTTTAAAAAACACTATCCTTCCTTTCCCTAACTGTGTAGAAAAAAAACCCTTCTCAGCTCTTTCAGAAATACTACACCTACTAACTCAGCAGACAATAACACGTACGTGGGCCATTCCAGTACAGCTCAGCGTGACCCCTCGCGTTGCTCCTATTTGCCCGTGGACCCCATGCTAGGGATACCGGGACTGTAATCTCTCTCCACGACCTTCACAATGATGCCTATATACTGCAAATGACAAACTGCTGCTACGGCAGCATCTGACTAATCACAAAATACCTAAATAGCTGTTCAAGCTCATTCACGGTCTCTAGTGTTTTGCCACAGTAAAAGAACTCTGCATGATTTGCAACTTGAAAAAACAAATCTTTCAAAAGCTATACATTAAAATAAGGCTTTTTTATACTATTTAAAAATATTTTAATGTATTAAAAACAGGACAGGCTGTTAACTAATGCTTTGTAACTGTACGTATTGCTGCATATGCTGTCTGAACAGTAGCTTAATTTTACCTGTTACAAAACATGGTGTCTTCGTGAAAGACAGATTTTACTAAAGAACCCATATGATAGCAATCTGAGTCATTCTGAAAGAAAATTGCTCATTAAAGCTCATGGAAAGACAGCAGAAACAATGTGTTCACATTTTTTTTACTAAAAATTCCTCTTATTAGAAGCTGTTCATAATGACAGTAATTTTTATATTACTGAGCTTGCTTACAGCTGTCAACTAACCAACTCATCATTAACTTCTATAAAGATTTGTTTCCTTATGATTTTGCCTAGTTAATATGACAGATGAAAGAGGCCTAATTACAAAAGCCTTACACTATTTCATGTCTCTCTAAGTCTCCTTTAGAGAAGGAAGAATTTAGAGAATGAGGACCAGCAACTGCATATTAAACAACTGATCCCTTACGTTTGTGTAAGTATTTACACGGCAACAAGTATCCACCAACTTTTTATGAGAAATCCATAGCAATGAACTTTTCAAGCCAACGCACCATCATGCTCAGTAACACATTTTGGGCCAGATTTTGGAAATACACTGTTGCTATTTGACCCTATAGGCCATTAGGAAAGAGTGATTGTTATAGACAGAAGCTCAGCTGACCCTTTGAAAGACTGGAAGCATCTGACTCAAAGCAGGAGTTGCAATTAGAGTGAACTGCCTCACAGAGAAGCATACAGAGATCCCTCTGCCCCCCCATTTTTTTTTATTAGTTAACCTTTTTTTTAGGCTGTGCCTCTAGGCTCTCCAAAGGAGAATATACTGATTCTGCAGTAGAGTCCTTGGGCACTGTATCCTTTGAAACTTGAATTCAGAACTAAATTGGGTAATGAAATAAAAATGAGTGTATTTCAAATTCCCTTCCTTTGAATGCTGCACCGTGGGCCAGTTCTGTGTAATTTCTATACCAGCCGTAGAAAGTATAGCACTCTGCGAGCCAAACTTAATTAAATCGATGAAGCTGTGGATCATTGTAACCAGGATTTTATTTGGAAGAAATAAAGATGGGGAAAGATACGAGCAGCTCAGATAATTGTTTAAAAGCAGGGGTCCCGGGCACTCTGAAACTCTCATCCAATTGCGATGACAATGAGCAAAATGCCCTGCAAGACTCTGGATCCTCTCATTGAACCTCAGCCTAAGCCATGCATCTTCCCGTTGCTGAGGCACTTTGATGGCTTGCTCTCTGCAGAAAGGCTGTCTCCCTTAGGCATTGCTGCTAATCATGCAGCATCTCAGCGTGCCCCTACATTGATCCTGCCCAGAAGAGCAGCACTTTGCTCCCATCCCACTAATTGAAAAAGAGAGATGAGGCAGAGCTCGCCATGCCTTGCAGAGCCTGACAGGGAACCATTTAGAGTGGGTTTTTTTGTTGTTGATTTACCCATTAAAATTATCAGTGTAGAAAAATGTCAGTTAAAAACACAGATGGTTCTGCTAAAATTAGCACTGGCCATAAATGCCGACTCAATATATTCAGTTCTGTTCTCCTACCATTATCCTCAGGATCTGGAAAGGGCAAGCTCCAAAGTATGCATATACAGTAGCTACTGCTGCAAAATGCCTGCTTATTCTTTCTGAAGGAACTCATCCAGTAAAGGAGGATTGGTATCGGGCAGTAGAGAGTGAGATATTGCCAGCAATCGAGTAAGAAACTGAAATAAATAACAAAAATTACATCTAGGTGTTCTTCATTTATTTTCCTTGCTAGAAAAGGCTTACATGTGAAGACTACAGTTCTTCCATGATAATTGTTTCAGTGCTAAATTCCAAGAGCCAAACACGTATGAATAGCATTTTTGCCTCAATTCTTATTAAGGGAAGATTTGTTTTTGGAGGCATTTTCTTTTTTTCAATCTAAAGGGGTAAACAGAAATAAAACTGGATCATCAGGTATCTTGACTGATTATTATGATTTCTCCTGTTCTGCTTTAAGAATACACCCAAGAACCTCCTTGTTTGCTCTGCAACATGTAGGCAATCACCTCAATGTATCACACGTGATACCTATTTATACTAGAAGTATTCCTAGATAAACAACTTTGGCATCTTAGAAAAATATACAAAACAAAATTATCACCTCTAGGTAAACTTTTTTTGGAGGGAGGGAGGATAGAAGGGAGCAGAGGGGAAGTGACATTATTATATCTTGAGCCATAAATCAGTAAATGGTTGAACTGTTCTTTCTATACCTAAAAGAAATATAACTATTTCATTTATGCTTTCCCATGGCACATAGGTTATGTTAAAACTTCTTTTCGACATGCTACCTGGTACAAAAAATAAGCAAAGGAATATAAGACAATCCAACTTAGCCCACTTTAAACCTAATAAAGTAAATAAAAAAGTTAATATTAGAGGGATGTAAAATGATAAAAGTTAAATATGTCTATTTCTTCTTTTTAATGTGTACATCATTTTCTTTCTCGCAATACCCTGTATTTCAGTAGGTGGGATGCCAGACCACTTCCTGAGCAGTCCAGAATGCTGGGTTCTTCTACCACAGCTTACTGTTATCTTTTCCCCTTTATCTAAAAGCTTCCCCAGTTGAAAAAGCCAGAACAGGCAAATTAGCTTGTAATAAGTAATTTCACAAACAACTGGTTAAAACTTAAGAAGTTGCTTTAAGAAATGAATGGCACAACAGAAAAATGGATGTTTGAATCTTTAACTGAAAGGCTTCACATCATCACTATCACAAGCAGACAATAAAATGGATTAGATACAGAGAGTTTATACACTTTGTTTGCTATTTAGTGAATCTTGCATTTATACAGTTTTGTATACTGGCAGACTTTCTGGTTTACTTCATTAACAGATTTAATTTAGAAGGATGGATTTATTTCTGGTACCAAATAATGGATAGAAGTTAAACATTTTCTATTTAGATTAAAACAAATGGATTGAGAAGAGAGCTCAATAATTAAATATGTTGTTTTGTTTAATGCAATGTATTTGGTTTTTAAATGAATCCTGTCTAAAAGGCCAAGCATAAACTTTCCTTTTCATTTATAAAATTATCCTTCTCTAACTAATTGCCTGGAGAGAAGTTGCTGCTAAAATGAAAAATATTATTTAGACAGGAAAATCTAGTACATTTATTTATCATTAGATGCGCAGCAAAAATTAATCATACAAGGGTTAAAACCACTGGCAAAAAATATTTCCAACTATAGCAATTTTGGGGGACGAGTGAGAACTAAAACAAGAAAAACTGCACTTAAGATCTTTAACTTTGAGAAGCCCTCTCAAGAAGAGGGTAAGGCAGATCACGAAGATCTCCTTCTCTTACTGAGGATACACGATGGCTTAGAGAAGATGTACAAGCTGATGTGCTCATGAAGCTCAGGTGCCTTCGTGGCACGACAGCTGCTGCAAAGAAAGCCGGGGCACGAGGCACGACCTGTTCTCAACCGATACGCTCCTCTCCAGTAACTGGGGATGCACAGTGTGGTGACAGCGACCATATCACAGACTGG